TGTATTGGAGAGATCAGTTAGTGAAGCGAAAGCTTCATACGCAGAAGCATTACGAAATCTCGAAAAGATCAGTGACGAGATTCACAGGGTATAAATTACATCAGTTACGTGCGAGTAATAATAATTTGAGCTGTGTATAAAATTTTTATTATATTTTTCCGACAGACAAGGAGATACGATGGTATGGATAATTACGATAAACATTCACGAGATGCGCCCGATCGTTCCAGCACCCAAACCAACACGGCAACTCCGACGGATTCTAGTGTAACTGGATCTCCTGACAGTACAGATTACACTAGCGACGAATATTTACGCCTTCCCGACAAGATGAGTCCGAATGTGCAATGTCCTATGCCTACAAGAGTAAGTATGGATAAGTCTCTCCAAATTGTTTATTATTCTTCAGTTTTATTAAATAATAATATTTTTTCTTTTTTTTTTTTTTCAGATCGAAAGAGATTCTTCGTCAGAATATCTGGGCCTAAATAATCTGAATCTCTCGTCTACCGAACCTCGTAAATACATAAAACGAGATCGTCCACGAAGCATCGCGGCCACCGATTCGAAACATATCGTATCGACTCTAAATCACACGAGTTCTTCTGCATCAGGCTTGGCGGATTTATCAGGCATTATATCTCCTATCGAGAAGAGAGTAAAAATTCAGACCCCTGTAAACGATAACAAGAACAGTGCTGCTACTCACAATGGAGATGAGTGGACGGAAATCAGCCTGAACAATTCGCCGGAAGAAGTTTATTATAACAATGAAGTGTATTCCGATGAGGAAGATCAAATTCCATACAAACCGCTACCGATGGATCTAAGTCCAGAAGCTACTCAGCAAATTAGCGTAACTGCCGAGCCGCCGAAAGAGCAGTTTAATCGAAAAAGATTAATAACGCAAAAGTCTTTACCCACAATGTCGAAAGTAAATGAAATTACCCTGACCGAAGAGAAAAAAGCCGAAGTTACGAGAAGCCCTTCGATAAAAAATAAAGGCAAACTCGATAGTAGCATAGCCAATTGGATAACTAGAAGTTCAGCTGGTGGCGAAGCTAGTGGTGGTAGTTCCAGTAAGTGAATAAATGTGTTTCTTTGAGAAAATGTTTATACTTTAAGCTTACACACACACACACACACACATATATATATAAACAATATTATTTCAGCAAATTCAAGCAGAAGACAATCTCTCGATATGTTGTGGAGTGGCGGTACTGGGGAGCGTGTCAAGGAATTACTCAGTCATGGTATGATGATGCTAAACATATCTAGTTTAACAGAACGACGTTCTAGTGAACCAAAGACAGCGGAGAGAGATAAGGACAAGTCTGAAAAGTCAGAAAAGTTAGAAATTAAAGGAAAGAAAGTCCCTAGTCCATTAGAAAAGACAATGAGTTATCTCAATGCAGATGAAGAGACATCAGACAGCGAAAGTTTAGCTAGGTAAGTTTTCTACTGAGGTATTCTTTTCAATTAAATATGATGTATTTCAATTAAATATGATATTAATATAATTTTTTTTTTTACTAAACTTTTCAATAGTGTGGAGATGTTAACGGAGGATCAGATTTCTTCACTCATGATGGAGCCAGACATGAATCAAGTATGCCAAGAAATTCTGGGAACTCCCTTGGTCGAAGTATGTCCACTATTGACACAACTGCAGCAACAACAATAGCCTTACCATAGAAAGATTTGTGCAACTGAGTGGCAAAAATTCAACAATAGAAAGTGTTCAAGAGCGTTATAAGATGGAATAGAATTAAGGCACATTCTTTTTTCCATTAAGATATTGAATATATACTACGTTTTTTTTGTTGTTACATTTTTATAATTTTTTTATCACGTGATATAGGACATAGTAAAAATTTTATTTCAAGACAATTTTTAGATTGATTATACGAAAATATTTTTTATGAATTTAGCTTGGTAAATCGACAAGTTATTTATATTGATTTATAAAAATAATATTTAATAAGGATTTAATATTGGTTGAAATCGTTTAGTCAATTTAGAATTTATATTAAAAGTGTCTTGTTAGTTCTTTGGATACTAAAAAGCCTAACAATGTCCTTTTGTGGATACGCTTACATGATACTTTAGATTGTCACTTGTGACATTTTCAAACCTATTCTATAAAATCTTTCTAACGTTTAGCATTTGGTAAAACTCTATGAAACATTATTCGCTGAGAAAGCAATACGTAGTTAATTTTTTAGGAGATTGTGTAGTTTAATCTAGATACTCGTACACAAATTTATTCCGAGTCGCATTGACTATTTTTGCTTACGTGCGACTGCTATCACGTTAAGGTCTCTCGGAGAGTATGTCTAACAGATATATATTCGAATATCGTGATATTCACAGCGAGATATCAAACAATCTAGATCTAATTTAGGTGAAATGATGTGACAAGATTGCATTCTGTACACTACATTTAAAGATAACCGATTATGATAAGCACTTCCTTGTCTTTCTCGTCGTGATGCGAATTATTCGGTCCATTAAGTTATCCGCGAGGCGTGAAACGTACAGTAAGAAAAAAAGAATCCTATAGAAAGTTACAAGATGCCAATTATGACTTTGACAGTCAGATTCTCTCTAAAATGCGAAACGAATTGTACATAAGCGTAGCATAATGCAATTCTAAACATATATAAGTGAAAATGTACAAATTGTACTGTTAACATCAGAGGTACTTTCAACTCCGAATCATTTTAAGTTTAATTACTCGTTAACTTCGTTATATGAACGCGAAAACAAATCGTTGTGCGATCAGTAACGTATTTTGGGTACGGATCGAGAATCTCGCTTGTCTTTGACAAGTATGCTGTTTCATATACAAAGCTTTGTGACATAAATAAGTAAAAATAGACCAGTCAGCAAGATATTTTTCAATATTTTTCGCTCAGACGCGATACAGGGACGATATATATTTATCAATTAAGCATCTCACAGGGCTGTTGATTGTATGCGATAAGAGCAAAGAGCGTATATTCGCGAATATACAAATTATCGTAAGCAGAATAGTCTTTGGACAGTCTAATGATCGTGATAATAATAGATCAGAAGCGCGTACTCGAGCGAATTCAAACACTCAAGACAAGTAAGAATTAACTATTAGCTCCATCATTTTTATTGCCACATATTGTGATATAGCTCTTAGCAATTGTAGGGATTTAGTTGGATTGTCCAATCGTCAAACGAAAATATTAGTGCAAAAGATTGTATGCAATACGCTATTTATAAAAAGTAATATATACATACATATATATAAATATATATATATATATATATATATATATATATACATACATATATATATATATATACATACATATAATATATAAATTGTATAAGTTATATATCCTATTTATTTTGAGCATAATTTTCTGTAATCGACGTTGTTAATTGACGTTGTTTTTCATACAGCGTTTGTCAATTTTTATATAAGGATGGTGGCAATCTTATATCTTTTAACAGAGATTGTATTTTACAATTTTAATGCGCAGAATATAAATATCGGAGCTATCAAAAAATATACCACGTTTTGAAAATATTGCATATTACACGCATTCATTATCACCTTTTATAATATTTATTCTAATTGTAAGATCGTGCATATTTTATATATTAGCATTGAATGCGAGACTCGAAGCAATCAGCTGATTTGAATTATTATTATATGCTAATCAAGAATGTATTAAAAAATGGATCAGGACCGTGTAAACGCGATGTAATGCACTTTGTAATGTAAAATCGATTACGACTCTCTTTACGATTTTAACAAATTATATTTTTGACGAGAACAATTTCGTTGCCATCCTTATATTGTAATATATATATAGCTCTATACTCTATATGAAAGTATACGCACTTCTTTTGTCGTAGTGCGATTCTTTCATTCGCGATTATCACGGAAGTCATGCGATTTTAGATGAGCTTGAAAACTGTTCGTCGAAATTCCACATAATCACAACTTTATAATCGCGACTCGCGATTGCATTCAAGAAATAATATATATATATTTTCGAGGATGGATTTCGAGAGCGAGAGCATAATATAAGTATAAAAGCGATAACAAAAAATTATATTGTACATACCTAATATTGTATATGTGAATGTAACTATGTATATACATATATATATCATTATCTTCATTAAAATCTCATTACGAAATACAGTGTATGCAAATCGTGCATGTATGTATGCCTGTCGTTCATTAGAATTCAAATCAGATAAATAACAATACGCGATAAACTCGCAATTAATCAAAATCACAGCCAAAATATATATTCTTTTTTTTACTCACCTTGCTCAATCGTCGATTGAACATCGGCCGCGATGCTTTAACACAAGTTGTTCGATATCGAAATAATTTAAAACGAAATGATTATAATAATACGCGGAAAGCTATTAAACTTTTCATATTTACGTAATTCGTATGCAAATGCGTTTATTAAACACGGAAGAATTAACAAGTTAACGATGTCAATCACTGTAAAATGGGAGAATTATTCGAAACGACGCGAATTCAAACGAACTTTATCAGCGGCGAACGGTTGAAGAGGCCTGCGTTCGAAAATCCACTGTAGAGTGGCGTCCAACGCCGACCAATCAAAGCGAAGAGATTCGCGCGCTCTGATTGGTCGAGCGGCGTCGCGCGCGGCAACGAAGCCGGCGAGTGCATTGAGTTGCCGTCCTTGGCCGAGTGTGGACGTGTTCTTAGCGCGCTTTTGTGAGTGATTTTTTTGAACAATTATTTACACTTACATTCACACACACACACACACACACACACACACACACACTTACATAATTGAAAATATAATCTCACAATCATCATTATTAATTATCTCATCATATTATTACAACCTGGCCGAGTAAACTTCTTGTCCTTCTTTCTCTGTTTTAATGGCTTTAAGGGCCTATTTTTTCCTATTTTTTCATCAGTTTTATCCGACAGTTAACATATCTTTGTCTATGTTTTTTAGAATTTGCCTGAAAAGAGACGAAAATATGCTACCTGTCGAGCAAAATTGATGAAAAAGTTGTAAAAATAGGTTGTAGAGGCCATCAAAACAGAGGAGGAAGAAGGACAAATGCATTTTGGAACGCGGGCGAATGAGTTCCCGCGGCGGGCGGCAGGTGGCGCCACTGTAGGCGGCGTGGCGCGCGACACGGCGAAGTTGGTCGTGAATCGTGAAACGAAAATGGCGTCGCGTACACGGTGCCGATGATCTCGTTTACCCGCGTCTCGCGATCCGGATAGTTACGATTTACAGGCGGTGTGCGACGTGGACGACAAGCGGACTGACAGTCGTGCGCAACGTGACCTTGGTATCGTCCGCGCGACACCCGGAGATACGTGCTCGTTTAAAGCGGTCGCGCCGCACGTAAGAACGTTGGAACGAGCGGCGGCGACGACGACGACGACGGTGGTTGAAGTAACTAGCGGTGACGACGATTTGTGCGAGAATCGGTGCCGAATTTACGCCGAGCACATCGCATCGCCGGGCTCGTGTAATACAACTCCCCCGGGGTGTGTTTTACTTGAGAAAATTATCGCCCTCTCGTTCTGTGTTTTCGCGCGAGGACGGTTCCTCGTCTCGCCGAATGGCACGATGAAGGACGCGAGATATCATTTCCGCGCCTAAGTATTCGAGGGCACCGACGTCGCGACGAACGGGAGTGATGTGTGTCTGACGTGAGCGAGTGCAAAGCGGTTCTCTCCTCCACGTATCGTCCTTGTTTCTTCGACGGACCCGCGGAGGAGGCGACAGTGAGGCGACGACGACGAGGACGCGCGACGTCAGGAGTCCATCTCGCTCACCATGGCGGTGAATCCGCGTGATATGGACGGCTTCATGCCGCTCCTGTCAACGACGGATATCAAGAAGAAGCTGAACGTCGGCAGCGTGTTGCTGAATTTTCTCGGCGACCTGACCAATAGCATCGAGTGCCAGGACATCGGCATGTTCATCGACAACGTTATACCGTGGCTTGGCAACGGAAATCCTAAAGTAAGCACTCCGTCACGACTTTGTCTTCACATATATATTTTTACTCTTATTTTTCCACCTATTTTCCGAAGCGCTTGTATTGTTTGCGAGCATTTGTATTGTTCGCTTGTTTAGAGAAAACCTTATTGAAATAGCGAAGTAAGAGAACATCTCTTCATCTTAAAGAGAATATTTTTTTTATTTTTTTCTCGACCGATACACAGTGACGAAACAGTAGCGCCGCTTAGTGCCAATGTCAATAAAGGGACATTGCATGTGACATATATGAAGAGAGATTATTCTATTATTTTATTATTATTCAACAATGCTGTCATTAATAGCTCAATTCCCGTTAGCTAAATGTTATTTTTACTACTTTAAAAGCACAGCGTGTACTTAAAATAGTTATTATGCCGGCAAATACATGTAATGTTTGTTTTTTTGTATTATATTTTTCATTTTTTTGCAATGCTTTGTTATCGCTGGAGGCTCCGTCTCTTGCGCGCATAATTCTGTATTATGTACAAGATGGGTTGTGATTGAGGCAGGGATGTAGGGTGCAGGGAGTTAATCGACTAGATACAGTTCGCCCTTAACACTTAAGTGACGTTGTAGATTTGCGGTTAAATCTCCTCGTTGAGCGCAAATACATGACGTGCCGTCCATAAATGGAGAAAGGAGACGATTGATCAGTCATCGCGCGCTCCATAAAACGTCACTTTTCGCGCTCGCACGTGAGAACGTGACTGCCCTTATTATCACCTTTGCCTAAGAGCGGGAACAACCGATTTAGTGATTGTAAAATTGGGTCCAGGTCTTTTGATATCAATAAGAACTTTTATTCTATTCAGAGAGAATTTTCTCGAGACAATTTTATGAATTTCTCTGACTAATATTTATCATGATGAAAAATATTAATATGTACATAATAAAATTAGTCGAACATATTTTATATCTCATTGTGGTAGATATTAATATTTTTTATTGTGGTAAAATATTAATCAGAGAAACTCGTTTAAAATTCTTCTCTGTGCATATCCGTAAATATGCATAGTAGAGTTTAAATATAAATTTCCCAAATAGTTGTCAATTTATTAATAAGATATTAATAAAATATAAAATATATTCGATTAATTTTACCATGTGCGTATATATTAATATTTTTATTATAGTAAAAATATTAATCAGAGAAACTATTTAAAAATTTTTCCAATACTATTTTGTTCCACGATTACCATGATCTTCAAAGTAAATTCTATGAGAAAATTTTCTCCGTATAGTATAGTCACTTACATATACATGATAGTAGTTTAAAAATAAGTTTCATTCTTGAAATATATGTGAGCGAAAATAATACTCTAATAATATTTAAAATAAAATGAAATTCGTCTTATTCGTCGACAAGAGAAGATCATTTTTGTATTTTAAATCGCTATATTGGCTGTTTTCGTTCGGAGATATTCAACACTAAATATATGGCATATGTGTTTATTCGAAACGAATGGGGATTAAGACCGGCATGGTCGCTGTTTATTAAAGACATACCGCGATCTGATACACGGATACAGGATGTTTTATTCAGCTGGACGCGACTCTGTTACTTCGGGAGAGTAATCGGTTATCTACTTATTCAATGTGTACAAAAGATCAATGTCGTCACGGTTGGAATTAAGTGCACGCCGCGAATTAACGATTGTAAACAATCCGGAGAGTCGCGAATCGAGATGTCGCGATGATTCGTAATATTATATACCTGAGATTACGGGAGCTCACACGTTTCACCATGATAACTAATATTGCGCAATGCCTAATTAAAAAGAACAATGAGATTTACAAACGCGTTCCGGACGATAAATTAAAAGTGCTGTTCCGAAATGTGGGTGATCTGTGGTCTATCTATGTTAATTGACGCATTGCCGCCCTTTTTTTACGCATCGGAATAGAAGCGCGTAGTTTCGTGAAAATATTGACGAAGCAGGATGTTTATCAGCACATGACGAGTCTTTATTTTTTACGTATATCGCGATTTCAACCGCAATTATTTCGTCCGTTGATAAATATAAGAGGCTCGAGGAATAAATTTAAATAAAATTATCGAATATTATACGTAACGAGGTAATATCTATAAAAATAAAAACTAAAACAGATAAATGATGTCATATATTTTTGTATATCTCATCGTTCAAGAGATATAGTTTAATATTAATTAAAGAAATAAATATGAGAGAGAAAGATATATACGAACGTGAATATATCTTTCCAATTCCAGTATACAAATTGCTTATATAAATGTAAATGTATATGTTGCTTATATAAAGTGCTTATATTAATGTGTTTTATGACGCTTTTATGTTTGTTTCCTATAACTTTATTGCATAGATTTTTATATCACCTCGTTCTCTCTTCTTTATATCCTATATGTAAGAAATTGTATATTACATTAGGGCTTTATCAGTCTTAATTTCGTACGATCGTGAGCGGGGCGTGTCGAGTTTGTCAATCCGTTACCTAGTGCAAGCAGAGGTTCTCATTTCATGTATTTTGCAATGTTGTACGTCGTATCTAACTTTTAATACTCGAACGATCGCGATAAGAATCTCCAGGTTATTTTAGATATCGCACTTTACAACGCGCTTCAAAATGTTTTTAAATTTAATTTACTTCAGTCATAAAAATAGTCATCTCTGTTATTGTTAAACTCTCTCTCTTTCTCTCGTCACTTGTCTGTAGGCATGTTGAATTTTTTTATAACTCTATACCTTTGCGAAAGAACGTTGCACTTTGTAAAATCGTGATACACCGAGAGAGGATATTTCAAGATTCGAAAGATCTACACAATTAAGAGTTCGCCGGTTCGACCTTTAAATTGCTCAATCTGCATCAAGAGCAATCGAGTTTATGATGTTATTGTTGCCGATTGAGATATATTCCTACAACCTCAATATTCTTATATACATATTTCTTTCTCTTGCTAGATTTTTGAAGACGACATTACGATATATTTTGTAATTAGTTTGACTAATTTTCTTCGTGTTTCTCTTGATTCTTAATCTTACACGGAGTGAATCTTCTCTTAGAATTTACCCTGAAAATCACACATCGTAATTGTGCAATTTCTCTAATTAATATTTATCACAATAAAACATTAATATTTACATAGTAAATTATACTACGTACATATAGTAAAATTAATCGAACATATTTTATATCTTATTGTGATAGATATTAATATTTTTATTGTGGTAAATATTAATTAGAGAAACTCATATAAAATACTTCCAATATCATATATTGTCGCATGATTACACCATAATTATCAGGGTAAAAAATTCTCTCTGTGTATAGAAATTGAATTCTCTAGATAAATAAATGACAATATTATTGAGAAAAAAATCGACTCCAAGATTTACTCTGCATTTTTCGCGATGCATTTTGCTTCGTCGAAGAAAATCACAGAGTGATTCGGTTCAACTTGCGAATAAGGGAAAAAACTTTCACGCCATGTATGTATAACGTGTCTTTTGCTAGCGTATCGCAAAGATCGACGCAGGGATGTCGATCAGTTTTAGTCGGAGCCATTAAGTCGCTAAATGTCCTCCGGTAATGGCCGATCGTGTACGGACGCGAGTTCTTGAGCCCTTAGAGAGAAATGCATAATAACTTTTGAGTGACAGTTTAATGGAGTATCGAGAGCGATTCGAAACTTTGATGCGGGATTTAAACCGCCAGGTAAAGTCGACAGTGCGATTTCGGTTGAGCTTTATTTTTCACACACTATCCTCTTTAATCGTGACAAAACTTTCACGCGTTGCGTCTATTTGAAGAATCAAATAAAATTGCGGTTACATAAACAAAGAAAATTTTCTCTTACAGAATTTATCCTAAAAAATCATGGTAAAGAGGAGACAATATATATATGATATTGGAAGAATTTTATGAGTTTCCTTGATTAATATTTATCACAATAAAAATATTAATATCTACCACAATAAGATATAAAATATGTTTAATTAATTTTACTATGTATATATTATTGTAATAAATATTAATCAGAGAAACTCTTCTATAAAATTCTCTCCGTGTAGAAAATAAATTTTACATTAAAAAATAGAATTGATATCAAAATACTCCAATAACTCCAATAATTATTTGAGATTAGAAAAGAACTTAGTCGTTGATTGCACAATACTTATACAATCGCGATAAATTTGACGAGATATAGTTACATGGACGCAACGATTTGTTTACGAGCTATTATTGGCTGAAATGTTGAAAGGTCTACTATATCGTGTGACAAAATCTGTTCGAAACCGAGTAGGAGTAAGAAATTATTCTCGTCGTTTGAGCGAGGTAATGATATGATTCATCACAATTACACTTATGTTATGACTCGTGCAATGTTACACTTGTAGATCTAAACGAGTTGCCTCGATAAAGCATTCTTCGTAAAGTAGATTAATGAACAAATCGATATCTTATAAAATAATCGATGCTATATCACTATTGTCCGCTATTACTGGGATTCTACGCAATAAAAAATATATTTTTCTCTTTCTCTCTGATAACTACTATACACTGAAAAAATATTTGTTAACTCGAGTAAACCTTTCAACTTAATATTATTTTGTTAATTGAACATATAAAATTATTTAAATTTAAATTAAATCTAACAAAACTTAAATACTAAAATATATATTCAATTAACAAATTAGTAATTTAGTTGAAAGATTTAGTCAAGTTAATCAATTTTTTTTAGTATATACTTAATGTATCTTCGCTTCGAGATTGCATAATACTTATTCAGGAATTTTGCTCGTATTGCATCGAATTATCAAATTACCGTAACTCGTGATCGTGTAAATCGATATACTCCTGTTCGAATTCTCTTAAATAACTAGCCGAAGCACATCGAACAGATCGTCTTACGTCACTCTCTCTCTCTCTCTCTCTCTCTTTCCGGTCGTGTTGGTTACAGGAATGCGAAAGTATTTCTGCGATATAATAAATTATTAATTGAATCG